GCGGCGCTTAGCTGCGAGGGCCTTCAACGCTGCTTGCAGCTTTAATTTAGGTTTGTTCTTCCACTTTGGTTACATTTCAGCTGTGTTTTTAGCAAGTTCTTCTGCAATAAGCATTAACACTACATTTTCGCAGGAAATGCAGTTTCTCTAGTTGTTGTTGTTGTTGTTGTTGTTGTTGTTGTTGTTGTTGTTGTTGTTATTATTATTATTATGCATAGACTTTTTTTACTGCAGCATAAGTCAGAAAACCCCTAAAGAAGTCAAGCACTGTCCTCAGATTTGTATCAAATAAATTCCAGTTTCTGCATCATCTAATAAAGTTTAAATCACCACAGCGGTTTTTACCAGATCATCTGAGAACTGACGCGCCTCGTGTTTATTTATTTTGCACATTAAAATGTCTTAAAGTGTCTTTTCCTCTCAAAACAATTTAAAATTAGGATTTTGACTTGTTTGATGTTCAAGTAGTAATCAACTAAACATTTGAATATTGGATTATGTCAACCAAAAGCACATCAGATTCTCAAATTTAAACTGCACAATTGAAATTTGTTACTTCTTTACACAAGTCCTAAATTATTAGAAATTATGGTACATCAGACCTGAATGAAAATAAAAGTATTAGCAGAAAAGTAAAGTTGGGAAGATATTCCTAAAATAAAATATATATTTATAAAACTAAGCTCTCGGGTGTGTCTTGTAAGGAGCTGGTTAGTGAAGTTTCTTTTACTTATTAACCAACAGCTACAGGAATTTTTCTCATTTCTTCTAAATGGTCGGAAACAAAAATGTTTTGGAGCTGAACCCTTTAGTGCAGTGTAAAAGACCGACTGATCTGAAGAGTTCAAAAAATAAAAATCTGTACTTTCCTTGTGGCTGAGAACTAGAATTTGTACTATTTGACCCGCATCATCTCAACATGTGGTGTGGTTCTGTCAGTGTTCTGTTTCTAAATGGATTTGTTGGGGAAAACTGGCAATTTTTCTTCTCTCTCTCAGCTACTACAACAAATTTTACCTGAATGTATGAAAAACAGACTTGCTGCCATGTGCAAAGATCAAGGAGTCGTCGGCGAACAATGGTTAGAAAGTATCTTGAAGCAGATTTCTAAGTGGTGCCGTTTTTGTTTTTTTAGGTGTCCACACCTGCTTCGTGTGCAAGAAGCGCAGCGAGGACGTGCGGCGCTGCATGATTCCCGTGTGCGGGAAGTTCTATCACGGAGAGTGCATTGCAAACTACGCTCCAACCGCTCCGGTGAACCGAGGTTTCCGCTGCTCCATCCACGTCTGCCTCACTTGCTTCATCGCCAGCCCCAACAGCTCGTCCATCTCCAAAGGTAAACCGAGGACAGGCGTCCTCCAGCAGGTGGACGCGCTCCGCTCTGACGGTCTGCTCTGTCGTGTTTGTACGCAGGTCGCCTGGTGCGATGCGTTCGCTGCCCGGTGGCGTACCACGCCACGGACCTGTGCATGGCGGCGGGCTGCGTGGTGCTGTCCAACAACAGCATCATCTGCCCCAACCACTTCACACCCCGCCGCGGCGTCAAGAACCACGAACATGTTAACGTCAGCTGGTGCTTCGTCTGCACCGAAGGTAAAACGCCTCATTCAACGAACACGCTGAGGATTTTTATATTCTTCGAAATACAGTAGTCCCTCGTTCATCGCGGGGGATCCGTACCCTGAAGACCCACGATAAGTGAAAAACCACGAAGTAGGAATAGTATACAAGTAGGAATTTATTTTATTATTTAATATATATATATATATATATATATATATATATATATATATATATATA